TATCAGTTTCTTAAAACATTTGTCCTTTAAATTAAAATTTAATTTGTAACGGTAGATAAAGAACTCACATTTGTAACGGTGGGTAGAGAGCTTACCAGAATAATGTTATAGAGAAGATAAAAATAGTTATTCTAGAATCATGGTTAGTTTCTTGAAACCTTTGTCCTTTAAATTTAAATCTAACTTGTAATGGTAAGTGGAGGAGTCTACACAATTTATTCGAAGGTAGAATGACTAAATCCATCCTCAAAGTATAGTAATAGGGAGGAATTTATCCCAAAAAAAAAAAGGACAAATCCACCCATAAAATTTTTTATTTTGATAAATTACCTCAAATTTAATGTGTAACGTTATTTAACATCAACAATCTGTTAATTTGTTATGTCGCTAATAAGTTTATTGTTAACAGATTAATGACGTCATATAACGTCACATATTAAATTTAAGGTAATTTGTTTAAGTAGAAAATTTTATGGATGGATTTGTTTCTTTTTTTGTTCGGAAGTGAATCTATCCTTGTCACTGTCCTTTAGGGATGGATTTGGGTATTTTGCCTAATTCAAAAATAACTACTCTGAAACCATTCTCAGTTTCTTGAAATCTTTGTTTTTTAAATTTAAATTTAATTTGCAACGTTAGGTGGAAAACTCACAAGAATAATGTTACAAAGAAGGTTAAATACCTTTTTTGGTCCCTTTACTATTAAAAAAATCTCATTTTTATCCACCGAAAAAATCTTCTTGTTGGTCCTTAAATTTTACAATTTGATCTCTTTTTGGTTCTTCTGTTAAATTTTGCTCACATGGCAAGTTATCTTAACGGAAATTACTGATGTGGATATTCCACCGTGTAAAAATGCTTATGTGCACTTAATATACCCCTCCATGTCACTCTCTTGACATGAAAAACAGACTTAATTGATGGGACTCACATTCTGCAATTCTCCAGATTCCTCCTTAGATATCATCTTCTTTCTTTCAAAAGTCTTGTTTCTCATTTATAATCAACTCTTTGCATGTGAGATTAGTCAAGATATAATTGAGAATTCTTAAAATTATTTTCATAAAATCATTTTCATTGGTAAGAATAAAAATTAATTACTAATTAAAGTAAATTATTAATACCGTCAATCTTAACTTCTTCTCTACAAAACAATCCTTCTCTTTACAGATTTTCAACCCTTTTTTTCCTGTTAAACCTAGGTAATGAATAAATCAAGTTACGAAGTTCATAGCAACATAAACACAACAATGTGAATCTATCCCCTGCAATTTCAAAGCCACATATCCAACGCAATTTGGGTTTCATAATCAACCCAAAACTTAACTTCTCTAATTCAAAAACAAATATGAAACTTTGATTTCATTCAGCTCCATTATGTAATATGGATACATTCAAAATGAAAAAAAAAAGAAAAAAAAGAAAAAAAAAAGAGGGTCTGAACCCAAAAACTAGGTTCCT